ATTTCTAATTAAGTTTAAAGTAAAATAATTTAATTTTAACGAAATTCCAAACCAACGGAATAGAACAAAACTGTCGACTGATAAAAAGATGAAAAATTATTTTAAAATAAAAATAAAAATTACAAGTAAAGAACAAAATATAAACTAGCAAAAGTGCACAAGCGAAGGAAGAGTAAGCTGTAAAATACGAAGGCGGTTGTTTGGGGGAGAGGATAAGGTCCCACGTCACCTGGGTCCCACGTGCTCATCACTGGCTGCTACTCCACTCCAATCCAATCCATATCGCATTCGCCACGTGCCCACATCTTACGTGTCGCCCTATCCCAAACGACCTCCATTGTATTTTTATTGTTTGCTTTTTCCGGATAAAAAGCGCAAACGGCCTCCGCATTAAGCTGACTTGGTCTTTCCCCCTCTGTTATTTTCTTCCAATCCAAACAGCCGATTTTCCGAGGAAATAAAAGGGAACGGGCGAGAAAAGAAAATCCGGCTCCCCATCTCAGAGATTTTGATAGAAGAAAGAAACAAACAAACTTCCGCCTCTCAAAACTCACCACTTGGATTTTAAATTATTACAAAAGGGTCCAGAAGACAGAGAACGCTCTCCAATCCAATCCCACTTCTCTATCCGATTGCCTCGATTATAGCAGAATTTCGCCGAAATTTCGATTTGGATTTCTCAGGAATTTAGGTTCTTAAGAATTGTTGACCTCAGACCTCAATTTTCCTAATTTTCCCGAGAAAATAAGATAGAAAGATGATGCAGAGGCAGCAGCAACAAGACCAGCAATCCAGGGTTTTGTACGAGCTGTCGGCTCTGGTTCTCAACCTCCTCCGATCTCCTCCCACGCCGATTCAATTCTCCGATAACTCCACGGTGATGATGCCCCCGACTACGTCTGCGTCGTCGTTGAGGCGGCCGCCGGCGGCGTCGACGGCGCAGATCTCGCCGGTGGGATTCGCGTCGTTGATGCTGGGGATTTCGATGGCTCTGATGCTGTGCGGAACGGTGACTTTCTTCATTGGGTTCATATTGATGCCGTGGGTGCTGGGATTGGTGATGGTGTTGTACGTGGCGGGGATCCTGTCGAGCCTCTCCGTCTTGGGGAAGTCGATTCTTTGCTACGCCTCCGCCCCGTCGACGCCGCGGAAGGACATTCCTGGTAAATTTTATGCCTTTTTTACTTTAGCTCTGAGCGTTTAATGTTTGTTTTTGTCTTTTGTTGGATTAATAATAATCTGCTTCTGTTTTCCTTTACATGGGTTATGTCTCTCGTTGTTGTTATTGTTGTTGTCTGAAATATTGGTATCAAATTTGTCTGGTTTTCGTTTTGTATACTATCATTTGTTTCCATCTGCTAAATATATTGATTTGGAAGATTATATATATTCTTTAATTAGAACTAGAAGGGGGTAATATTTGGAAACATGTTGATTTAATTTTGGTGTTAAAATGTGCTGACTTTGATCGGAATTCGATTATCGCGTGATTTGGGAAGGATTATAGAACCCGGTAGAAATTTAGTCTCAAACCATTTGGTCTGTTAGAGCACGGAGCCGTGTTCTGCATATGCATTAGTATTTGGCTTTACCCTCGGCCCCTCATCTGTATATCAAATTCCGCTTTGATTGCTGTCGCGGTTGTGTCAAATTTCCAACCTTCATCCACCGTATAAAATGTCTCTTCTGTGTAAAAGGATCATTGATGAAAAATTTCTAAATTTCGTTTGTCCTCTTTGATTCAAAAAATGATCTTTGAATAAATGAAAAGGCCGTGAAGAAAATTGAGTTGCTTTATCTATTGGTATCCGAGGAATACTTTAGGTTTTCCAAATTTCCAATCTGTTAATTTGGTATTCTAGCTTAGCATGATTAAGATAGAACTGTTCACGAAGAGTTTTGGCTTGTTGACATTGAATGTAGATATAGAAAATGATAAATGAAGCATATTTAGTTGGCGTTTATTTTATATTTGATAATTAAGGAGGTTTTCTGGGAAGGTAAGGCCTGTGATTACATGTTTGACATTTGTTTGTTTTTTGGGTCATCGTCCCTGCTCTTTCCCCGTCCATTCTATATGCACTGGAAATATTATCTGCTGCCTTGGTTGGTACTTCTCTGGAAGATTGTTTGTAATTCTGTCTAAATTTTCTATTGGTGCAGCATGGAAGCTATTGTGAAGGAGAGGGAGGAGGTGGTTCAAGGGAGTTGAAATGTCTTACGGAAGGACGGAGCAGCAGCACAGATGATGTTCTTGTGAGAGTGGTGCTGCATATAGGGAAAGGAATGTTGTATAGGCAGCTGAGGCCATAAATTAAATCGATAGCTTCTTGAAGTAATTGATGCATGAACAGTGGATAAATGTTTTATTAATACTCTACTGCATATGTGGAAATGGCTTCTAAAATAGTGAATTGTTGAAGGATGATGATGATGATAATTCTATGTAGTTGCATCCAATGAAATTCCTAGTTGTGAGGAGATGGCGGCGGATGTCGCTTAGCCTCTTCGTTGTTCTGATCTCTGTGTTGTTCAGTACATTTACTTCTCATTATCTCTTGTTCTCAAATCTGTAAAAGTTTATAGCTCGGCTCACGTCTATTCGTTTTCTGGTTTTTCTTAGTGAGAAATGGGGTAACAGATGATCTTTCACATTGTCTCTTTGGGTGCATATTTGCATGTTGGGACTGGTTTGTCGTTGCATTTTTGGTCGATCACTGGGATTGGTTTGTCAACGACAAGGTAGGTTCCTGGTAGTGACTTTGTGGGGGCAGGGGAGGGATGGCAATTGTGTTTGGGGGCATATTTAAGGGCATCGCCTTAAATGTACGCAACGCAATCCATCCAGTTGGAGATGGAGGCGGCACGGGATGGGGAGCGAATCGTTCCCATAACGAATTTATTTGGTCAGCTCTCGTTTTAGCCTTTTCGGTAATGTAGATGAGAGAAATTTTAATGGCGTGTGTGTATTGTTGCAATGGCGGTTTTGTGTCAATGACGCAATGTAGTACGAATGTATTTTTACTTGGCACTGTATCAACCATACGGGACGCTACAGTTAGGAATGAGCAACAGTTATGGAGGACAGATAATCGCGGTTATTTATCCATAACCATTTAAGCTCTTACCCACATAACCGTTTACGCGTTAGGTATTTGCATAAACGAGTATACCCATATGCATAACCGTTTATAAACGGTTAACCACACCCATAATTGCGTACCCATTTAACCATAAACGCGTAACCATTTTTCTGTTTTTATTCCGTTTACACTCTTTTTTACTTGTCTACCATTTTTTTTAACAACTTGAAAATTAAAAAAGAAATTTGTCATAATTTTCTTTTTCTAACAATTAAACACCGTTAAGCGTGCATTTAACGCATTTTCATATTAATGACGATATTATTTATGAATATATGTGATGTCTCCCAATTATTTGATAGTCAATCTATTACAAGAATCATGCATGGTTGTAGGTTAATTAATATATATATAACTACGTATCAGTATGCTAATAAGCTAACTTGATAAATATTTAGATTTTTATTTAGAAAGATATGTTCATCGATTCAGGCCATTTAATCGGTTTCTAATTTTTGGGTCAATTATTTATTGAAAACTTAAGGCCAATTAAATTAATATATATAGGTACGCGTCAGCCAACATTAACATGCTTCTAAAGGTTTAAGGTAATCATTATCTTGAATGCTAGATGATTTAAAACTCCAAAATATTCCAAAACATGCTTCTAAAGGTTTAAGATAATCATTATCTTCAATACTAAATGGTTCAAAGCTCCAAAATACTCCAATACAAAACTTTCAAACACTCTAATGTTTTAGCATGTTCAATCATATATATTAAACATAGGCTCGTTCATATCAACTATATTTTACACTCAAGTGAGACATATATATGGCTCATCTATAACCAGTTATGTCTCAAGATACTAAACTTAGCTAGAAACTAATGTTATTTTTTAAGCTTACATTTATTAAAATAAACGATTAAATGAATACCCATTTATAACCATTGGTAATACCTATTATTATTTATTTATTTAAACGGTTACCTATAATCATAACCGTAAATTTTAAATAGACTATTAAGGAGAAAAGAAAAGCGTGCAGCGATGTCCGACTGTGCGAACAAGTCAGTAGGAGTGCATTAAAATGGAAGCGACACAAGTGTACAAGTTACCACGAAGGAAGCTTGTGAAAATGTCAAAAGCCCAAAGGAAAATGACATCAAACTGCCAAGTGTTCTAAAACCGACAATGGGATGGTTTTGTCTAGATCTCATTGGCATGGGTCAATTGACTCAATTCAGCTTGAAAACAAGCACGGAAAGAGGCAAATAGTGCTTTACACGCTAGAATAAAGTTTCATTCTCTTGATTACATGGTGATTAAAAGTTTATAGTCAATCAATTTTAAATTTGATATCAATAAAAAACGTTAGAAGTATATACGTATTAATTCTGATCTTTATTATCAAATTTCAAAATAAGTGACTATTTATTAATTCGTCATGTAACTATTGAAAATAATATCTCTTTTGAGTCTGTAGTTTTGAAAATTACAGTTTAAGAAATGTGCAAAACTTTTTCTTTTTTGATTTTAATGAATTATTTTGTATATGTGTCAACGCGTCGTGGTATAATGTGTCATGTTATAATTCATAAGTAAAGAGAAATGACTATTTAAATGTAAAGAACTAATGACGTTCACACAAAAAATAAAAAGTTTAGAGAGGTACATGTTATTAATTCTGATCTTTATTATCAAATTTCAAAATAAGTGACTATTTATTCATTCGTCATGTAACTATCGAAAATAATATCTCTTTTGAGTCTGTAGTTTTGAAAATTACAGTTTAAGAAATGTGCAAAACTTTTTCTTTTGTGATTTTAATGAGTTATTTTGTATATGTGTCAACGCGTCGTGGTATAATATGTCATGTTATAATTCATAAGTAAAGAGAAATGACTATTTAAATGTAAAGAACTAATGACGTTCACACAAAAAATAAAAAGTTTAGAGAGGTACATGCTTTCCCCACATTAAGAAACACATCCTCACCAATTTGTTAACGATGATAAGGAAAAACTTAGAACATCAAACAGTACTGCTCAAATTCAAAACAAACAATCTGAACAAAGTTTCAAATAAATTGCCAAACATGCATATTGAAATTAAAAGATATAATAAGCAAATCTCTAAAAAGGAAATTAAGGTAATGGTCATCCAGTGTAGATATGAACACCAATAGCGATGAGGAAGATGGTGAGGAGGCCGAAGAAGATGATGGTGTGGACGAGGATCGATATCCCGCTCGTCTGCATGTTCCCAAACTCCACCACCCTGCCCTTCCCCGGCAGTTGGAACAGCAGCCCAGGACTCAGCAGCACGAACAGCACCACCGCTATCACCACCGGCCCCCAATCCGCCATTCTTCACGATATCTGAGATGATCTTCCAGCTGTTTTTTTACTTGTTTGTGTCTAAGTGGAGACCGTCACAAAGAGTTCACCTGTGTGGTATAAAAGGGAAGAAAAACAAGAGAATCAAAGAGTGTTAGAAACTAAGAAACGGAAGAAAGGAATCAATGTTGAAAAGAAGGAGCATCAGTGTTGATTGTGGATCAAGAAATCTTCTGCCACCTCCTTATATATATATACATATATATATATATATATATGAAAATGTTTAATAAGAGCCCTACTTTTTATTATAACTTGTTTATTGTTTATCATCATATTTGGATTAGAATGGTCGGTGCCTTGTGGAGGATGCTAATTAGACAAATGTCAAAGCAGCAACGTCATGAGAGAAACCCTTTAAACAGCTGTTATTTGATGATCATTCTGCTTAACCCTATTTAATCTTGATGGACGATGACACCATATTCAATTCCAGTTTAATATGTTTTGCAACGGACCATTGTGACCCATGCGTCCATACTATATATGAACATATATCTAAGTCTTATATGTTCAAAACCAACAGGTCCATTACACATATGCTCTATTTGACGGAACTCTGCTTTGATTACACTTTTAATTGGTTCCGCAAAATGTAATAAAACCAATTGCATTTTCACCACGGGGGTTTAATTTAGAAAAATACCAACAAAATGAAAAAACAGAAGTCATAAAACCTATTTTTGTGAAACGTTTGCTATAAGCGATGAAACTTAATTCTGGCTATTATAAAACAATTGAGACCCGCTCGTTTTAATTAAAACCACATTGACCGTAGATTAGTATTTTCAGCTTGTATTCCTTAGTTCAGATTAATTCTGTCCATCCAAATAAGTGAACAAATTCTACTTCGGCCCTCAGCATTCACATTGACCTTATATTCTTCTTACTAAACATCCGGTGTGTTGCTATATATACTTGCAGTTGATGGAAATATCAGCTGGCCGGTTGCAGTATTACATGGACCACATCCACTATTTCGTTTAAGGCTGCTTTATTCAAGACCATGAATGAGAAAGATTTTTCGGTTTGTCCGAAACACAGACACATACGTTATATGTTATTATACAAGTGAAGAATATTTAATAAAAAAAACTTTCCTCAACTTATATAATAACATATGACGTACCGTCCCGTGTTCTGGCATTGAAAAATCTCTCTAGTGAGAGAAAGCTAAGTCAAACAAAAATAAAAGTATGAAACAGGCACATCGAAATTAAAACTTCAACCATCCAATATTTTACAATTGAAAAACGTTAGGTAGACCACATTTCCTACTTGCATTGTGAACCCCTACTTCATTAGAGAAATAATTTAAATGTAGTATCCCTAATATCACCCGTTACCATTATTTTAATTTCACAACCAAAAACACAACAAAAATAATGCAAACCAACATCAATTAAATTATAATCAAATCCAAACCAACATTGTAATCGAAGGTTACAAATGAAGCAATAATAATATTGATGAAACAAAAGTTGATCACATATTGTTCAGTAATGGTGTCGCTTTTTACCTCAATCGGTAACGAAGGAGGTGGAGTAACATAAGAGTTTTAGTTAACCGAGGTAAAAATGGACCTTGATGGCCAACAAGAAGACGCAAATGAGACCAAAGTAGAGGAGGGAGTGAACCATGATGGCTGCACCACTTGTGTGGAAGCTGCCAAACTCCACACAGCCATGGCGGCCGGGCAGCTGGAACAGTAAGCCCGGAGATAACAAAACGAACAGCACCACCGCCACGCAAACCGGGCCCCAGTCCAACATCCTTAAGCTCACTGTATTTGTACTACTGATTTAGAGTTCTCGCAAAGATCTTTTGCATGCGGAATAAGGAATCGAGGAAGTAATCGGTTAATAGTAATAATAGTAATGCTCCAGTGAGAGTTATGGTACTGGATTTGGGGTTGTATATATATGTCGAGAAGACTTTGATGGGAAGGAAACACTGACTGACTGACTGATTGAAACACGATAAAGGGAGAGAAGAGAGTTCGTGGGGCGGAGGGTTGGAGAAACAAGTCACTTTGATTCACTCCCGCCGTCCCATTAACATCTCTCTGTGTGTTTTTGCCTGCATAATGTGACAACGAATAAGAGCCAGAGGTTGCTTGTTGGGCTTCTTTCTCATTAATTTAGAGCAATGCTAAGGAAACTAAATTTGGAGATAAAATTTACATACTAATTAAATAATGTCACATCCCGGCCAGGGTCGATTATGCCGTAGCACGATATTGTCTACTTTGGGCCTCGACCACGCACTCACGGTTTTGTTTTTTGGAACTCACACGAGAACTTCCCAGTGGGTCACCCATCATGAGATTGCTTTCGCGCGAACTAGCTTAACTTCGGAGTTCCGATAGAACCCGAAACCAATGAGCTCCCAAAAAGCCTCGTGCTATATGGAGGTGGGAATGTACATATAAGGCATAAAGGATCCACTCCCAAGCTCGACTCCACTGTAGCACGATATTGTCCGCTTTGGGCCCCGACCATGCCCTCACGATTTTGTTTTTGGGAACTCACACGAGAATTTCTTAGTGGGTCACCTATTATGGGATTGTTCTCGCACGAACTCACTTAACTTCTGAGTTCCAATGGAACCTGAAGCCAGTAAGCTCCCAAAATGTCTCGTGCTAGATAGAGATGAGAATATACATATAAGGCTTACATGATCCATTCCTTTGGGCTATATGGGATGTTACAATCCACCCCCCTTAGGGGCCCTATGTCCTCGTTGGCACACTTCCGACTAGGGATTGGCTCTGATACCAAATTGTCACATCCTGGCCTGGCCCCTACCACATCCCAAGCTTGACCCCACCGTAGCACGATATTGTCCGCTTTGGGCCCCGACTATACCCTCACGGTTTTGTTTCTGAGAACTCACACAAGAACTTCCTAATGGGTCACCCATCATAGGATTGCTCTCGCACAAACTCACTTAACTTCGGAGTTCTTATAGAACCCGAAGCCAGTAAGCTCTCAAAAGACCTCGTGCTAGGTAGAGATGAGAATATACATATAAGGCTTACATGATCCATTCCTATGGGCGATATGAGATGTTACAATCCAGCACGCCTTGATTTAGGTCGGGGTGTGTCAAATAATATGCAACTAATAAAAATGAACACATTTATTAACGCTTAAATAATAATCAAATCATTAACTTTTATGTCATTTAGTTTACAATATTTAGTTTCTAAATTTAGTCTCCAGTGTCACATCCCAGCCCGAGCCCCCACCACATCCTGAGCTCGACTTCACCGTAGCACGATATTATCTGTTTTGGGCCCCGAGCACGCCCTCACAGTTTTGTTTCTGGGAACTCACATGAGAACTTCACAGTGGGTCACCCATCATGGGATTGTTCTCGTGCGAACTTGCTTAACTTCGGAGTTCCGATGGAACCCAAAGCCAGTGAGCTTCCAAAAGGCCTCGTGCTAGGTAGAGATTGGAATATACATATAAGGTTTACACGACTATAGGCCTAGCAATTCCTGACACGACCCGATAACCTGACACGACACGACACGAAATTAACAGGTGCTTAGGTCGACACGATAATGAATCGGGTGTTATCGGGTAACCCGATAAGCACATGTTAAGATAACGGGTTGGTTCGGGTATACACGTGGGTAACACGATACACGATAAGCAAAATATTAATTTTATTATTTTTTAACCCTAAAAATTACTATAATAATTATATATATTAATTTAACAATTTTATACCCCTAAAAAGTTTAAAACTATAATAATTATATATATATATATATATATTAAATTAACTATAATAATTATACCCCCAAAATATTAACTATAATAATTATATATATATATATATATATTAAGTTTTAAATTAAATTTTATACCCCTAAAAACTATAATAATTATACGTACAAAATAAATAGATTTAAATCTACATAATAAATAAATATATATATATATATACACACACACACCATTGAACTTGATGTGATACACGAAACTAATTTCAACGATCAACCGTTAAACTTGTTTGTATATGCTTCGAGATCGCATCAGCAAAAAATCGCAAAAAACAAACATTCAGAGATCAAGTAACGGGATAAAACTTTTCGACGGTTTTAAAACAAAAAATCACGATTTAACGGTTATTTTAACTCTGATTTTCATGATTTTTTACAGTTACACTCATTGACCTATATGAATACAATGAATGAATTCGATTTTCAATTTAAAATATTTACACTAGTGGATACTGTGAACACGGAAAATTCCTGAAACGAAAGAGACAAGAACGACGTGCACAAACAAATATTATGTATTTGATGATTTTGGGTTACAATCTCTCTTCTATTTGATCCTCTGATTCGATCTCCGTAAGGTGTTGATTGGTGGGTGTTTCGTTGATCCAAGGGCCGTCGAGGCTTGATCTTGGATGAACTGTTGGAAGTTTCTTCAAAGGGCCGTGGGCTTGATCTTTGAAGGTGGATTTGAGTGGATCTTCAAAGGGGCTTTTGGGCTTGATCTTTGAAGAAACAAGTGACAAACGGATCTCCAAGGGCTTTTTGGGCTTGATCTTGAAGAACAGTGATGAACAGATCTTCAAGGGCTTTTGGGCTTGATCTTGAAGAACGGTTGGATGTGTGGATTTGTCGACGTTGTTGATCCAAATGGCCGTTGGGGCTTGATCTTGGATGAACGGATGATGAACGATGGTGCTTTCTTCAAGGGCCGTCGGGGCTTGATCTTGAATTGGTGGATGGTTGATCCAAGGGCCGTCGGGGCTTGATCTTGGAAGAACGAAGAACGAAGAACACTTTCTTCAAGGGCCGTCGGGGCTTGATCTTGAAGGTGGACGATTGTTGATCCAAGGGCCGTCGGGCTTGATCTTGGAAGAACGATGAACGAAGAACGCTTTCTTGATTCTTCGGGAACCTGGATGCTTGAGAGCTTCGGAGTTTCAGAGCTTCAGAGCTTCAAGAGTTTTGCCTAATGATTTTGGTTTTCTTCAATGAATGAAATAGGCTTGTATTTATAGAAATTTCCAAGGCCTAATTTTGAAATATAATATTCCAGATGAAATAAGTCGTTTCTGCCAGGTGTTGACACGTGTCCTATTTGATGACTTTTCCAACTCATTTCAATTTTCGTTGAATCACACGCTACGTGTAAAATTTATGTAATACATGAGCGTTGACACTTTGATTTACCGGTCAACATTTATTTACGAAATTTCGATGTCTACAAAATGCCCCCACTTCAAGGCACGTCGTGTACATGTGCTTGTCACGTGTAGGAGATGCGTTTTGAAGTCCCTTACTGTAGATGTCGATCCACGGGCCATCGAGGCACGATCTTGAATTGGGCTGGAGATTGTTTCAAGGGCCGTTGAGGCTTGATCTTGAATTGGGCTCGAGATTTCTTCAAGGCCCGTTGAGGCTTGTTCTTGAACTTTTTGTTTGAAATTTCTTCAGGGGCCGTCGAAGCTTGATCTTGAAGGTTGAAATTGGACCACAAGGAGCTTCATGTGGTAGATGATCTTCGGCTTTGGTAGTGGGTGAATCGGCACGTGTTTTGTTGCGCTTGTTGACTTTCCACAGCTTTGATCTTGAACTGGGTTGAAGGATTTTCTGGATTCCTCCAATTGTTGATTTTTCCACAGCTTATTCTTGAACTAGGTTTTGATTCAAGAGTGGTAGACACTTGATCTTGAATCGGACTTGTGATTTCATCAAGGGCAGTCGAGGCTTGATCTTGAAGTTGGCTGGAAACTTCTTCAAGGGCCGTTGAGGCTTGATTCTTGAAGGTTGACTCGAACACATGGCAAGCAGGCACGAGGTAAATGTGACAACCTGTTTCTTTGTTCAATCTTTCTAATTCACACCTGAGCAGTTTGGTCAATGGTATGATCTTCAAGATTGATGAACTCTTCTTCCAGTTGGTGACTTGATCTTTAAGGATTCGATTCAAGGGTGGTGAATCGGCACGCGCAGCCCACAACGCCTAGTAAGTCGACCCAAGAATTTGAGGGTCAAAACAAGTTCACCGTCCTCAGGCAGATGCGACATCTTCTCGAGTTCTTCGTCTCAGACTCTTTCTGCTGAGTTGACTGTGCATGCTGCATTCTTCTCTGCTTGTTTCTTCAGGCAGATATGGCAGCTTCTCGAGTTCCTCAGTTCGGACTCCTTCTGCTGAGTTGACCGTGCATACCGCATTCTTCTCTGCTTGTGCCTTCTGCACCTTGTCTCCACATGCTTCAAGGTATCCTTTATCTATTCCTCGGGCAGATGTGGCAGCTTCTTTGGAAGTACAGCAGCAGTGGGAGACGAGTACTCGATAGCAGTGCTAGGTAGGCAATCAGGGAAGGGCTCCAAGCAGTCGGTTCCTTACCCGAGTTTGAGTGGAGGTTCTGGCATATTGTTTTCTTTATCCTTGTCTTTGTAGGTAAGAACAAGGACAAAGGGAAGGACAGGGAGAACACATGATATGAGATACTCTTGCTTTCTACCCTGGTGATATGAGATACTTTTGCTTTGAAGTCATTGGCTTGCAGAGGTACCCCAAGGAATAAGGAACACTGAATGACTCGAGAGGCTTCGTTGGGAAAACATCTTTGGAGATGAAGAAAAACTCTGTGTGTCTGCCTTGCTATGGAAGGTGAAGGTGGACAGTTATAGGAGGTCCCTTAATACCTGTAGAGGTACTATTCTTTCACTCGTGTCGGCAACTAACGCGTGATTGAACAGTAAACTTAACGTGCTTTCTCCTTCACCGAAAAT